ATCTTTTAGAATGTACAGCTAAAAGACTGAAAGAACCTACATGCCAGCTAGGTATTTAAGCGAGAGGGGTCTAAGCCCCATTACTATTTGTGCTATGGTGTTGGGAGGTAGTGCAGTAGTATCAGAAGTCAATGCCCCCAACATATGTCACCCTGCTGGATCTGATAGGATGTCAAGTCTCCAGGGAGTCCAGGAGGACCTTATCCTATTGTAATTTCCCAGAATACAGAAGCTTTATTTTTAAATGGTTTTTAACCTTTCGAAAGATTGTGGATCTTTGAGTGAATTCAATGAATCTGTATGATGGAAGCCTATAGATATTAAAACATTAGATCTAATTTTAGAGAATTCATAGATTCCATGATATTAATCTATAGATGCTAGGTTTAAAACATGTGCTTGTACAAGTAGTTTACTTGGGGCATGATCTCAAACAGTATCTTGAAATAAGACAAGGTAGAGAAGGAAGACAGTGAAGCCAATAAAGAGTGTTCATCACGCAAGTTACCACTGTGGGTTTCTAGAGTTTAATCCTCCTAGAAAACTTAGGAAACCAGTGTACAAAGTAGACCTCAAAGTTATCCTGACCAAGGAGTGAGTAAGCTGGTGTAGTTATACCCAGATGCTCATCAGTTATTGTGGAGGCTGCTGGGTGGGGGTGAAGAGGAGCTTTAATTCCCTGCAGTTTCTGACTTTTCCCAAACAAGGACAGAGCAGGCTGCAGCACAAGAGTCTCTAGGCAAGGAACCAAAAGTGTTAGCAATTGAAAATCTAGGGGCTTTGTGAGTGACAAAGGTATATGTCAGTGGCAGTATAGAAAGGGCATTGAGAGCCATAGCAACATATTTCTGGGGTGTTTTGAGACTCCAGAAGCTCTGGATTATTAGACTTAAAGGAGTGACAATGACAGAGAGAATCTTGCCTATGTGCAGCCTAGTGACCTGTTAGGGGAAGATTTAACACCCGTTGGGTGAGTTGCCCAACATTCTCCAAATTCAAACATGATTCAACTTTACAAACTGAAATTTAACGTCAAATTTCTTTGGGCTATGTTTCTGTTTAAATGGTCACTACTATTCTTCTCCAACAACTGAGAGATGTATTGTATGTGCACGGGGCTCTGGAAATTATTAGTCATGTGTATTTTCCAGCAGACCAGTTTGACTTTTGCATCTTCTCAGACTGCTAAGGAGCTTAGGGCTAAAACATCTAGAATTCTGCCTCAGAGGCAATGTTTGAACTGTCAGGCCCTGAGTCACTAGCTTGCACCCCCTTTTCCAGTTGAACCCTCCTTTCCTTGGTCTTGCTCATTTAGGGTAACAAGTTATTCCAGATGTGGAGAAAGGGTAATGGTTTATAATTTCTACTTCCTAACACAGAAGGATGGGCTGGTTAAAAAATATGAAAGTCAGATATGACTTTTGTACAAATTGCAAGGTTTAATATCTTCATTTATTTTACTTTTTAATACAAGTGATCCTCTGCTTTCCCTTCTGGTTCTTGTGACTTTGTATCCTCCTGAGATTAACCTGGGCCCAAGGATTAAGCTCTTTTATGATCCTGTTTACCTTAGGACTTGGATGGTCTGATTTGACTAAATATGTGTTTGTTTTGGTTTTAGAGCTGATTTATTGGGAAACACAGTTTTCAATGATATCACCATCATCATTATTAGTGACCTTCTTCTGTTGGAATCACATGGGTCTCCTTGTTCTGACATCTTCTTTCTCTCTCTACAGGCTCGGCAGTGGCTTTCTAAATGTGCTAGAAGTCCTGAAGCATGAAGTGAAGATAGGGCTGGGTACAGGTTAGTAGTTTACCATTTGGAATTATAGTCTGTTAGTCATAACTTTCTTTCTTTTTTTTTGAAGATGGGGTTCACTCTGTCACCCAGGCTGGAGTGCAGTGGCACAATCATGGCTTGCCACAGCCTCTACCTCCTGGGCGCAGGTGATCAGCCTCCTAATAGCTGGAATCACAGGCACGTGCAACCATGCACAGCTAATGTTTTTATTATTTGTAGCAACAGGGTCTCACTATATTGCCTAGACGGGTCTCGAACTCTTGGGCTCAAGCAATCGTCTCACCTCCATCTCCCAAAGGGCTAGGATTACAGTCTTGAGTCCTCATGCCTGGCTAATGTATAACTTTCTAATGAGACTGATTTGCATGTGACAGTTCTATGTTTTAAAATTACCTGGCAGTGATATACTAAGTATCTAACAAAATAGTGAGATTAGAAGGAGTAAGAACATGTATGCAGAGGTAGAAGTTTTGATGACATTAACCTCCTGAAAGGCATTATCTCTGTTTACTGTTCAGAGATTAGGCTATAAAGAATAATTCCTTTTGAAGTGTCTTAGAGTGATTTTTTTTTTTTTTTGGTTTTGTTTTGCTTTATTCTTCTGGCTAGGTTTTAGTTGTTTGAGCTTTTATGCTTTTAGATTCTGGTAACCATGTTATCACAAATACTGTCTCGAAAAAAATTATCTGTCCTTGCCATAGTGAGCACAGATTCAATCTGTGACAGCACTGAGAACTCTGAGATAACGTTAAGAATTGGCTTTGCTTTCAAGCAACATTTGGACAAAGGAGACTCCTCAATACCCACAGGCAGTCTGATGTTTATGAGGCTGAAAGACATTCTAAGGTGCTGATGAATTAGTGATGTCTTCTTTCTTCACAGTACATTTTAATTGTGTTTCCTGAATGTATAAAGTGCTGCTCAGTTTGAAAGTGTGAGTCAGGCCCAAAAGCCTGGGTATCCGCTATGATTCTTCTATTATTACTGTGTGTGACTGAACTAAGAAAAAAATTTTAAATGGGTGTGAGGCATGAGGACTTTATGTTCTTGACACATTTGTCTTTCTGATATTGAAGAACATCAGGCTGTAAACATGTTGACACTGGTGCTTTTCATCACTTTCTGCAGTAACTCAAATCTTAGTTTGTCACAAGGAGATATTTCATGCTATGCAGTTAACTAGTAATATACAATATTATGCATAATTATTTTATTAATATTTTAAAAAGAGATATGTTAGATTAGAGATGTTTCCCAATTTTGCAGCAAAGTAATCAAGATTTTAAAAATTTTAATTTAAAGCCTTTAAGCATTGAGACTGTGGTAATATCTTGGTATAGTCACAGGTGTTAAGGCAGGAAACCAGGTTTTTTACCTTCACAGGAAAGCTTTATTGGATAAGAAAAAAAAAATGGCCAAGAATATTTGTTACATGCTATAGTTAGTTAATATGAAAAACTTAGCAGACATACAAAAATCAGGTAGGTATTGCTTTCAGGTAGTCTGGATTTTGGTCTCCATGATTTAACTTTCATCATGTGACTTCCAGTTCTTGACATTGGGTTGTATAGTGATAGCTTAAAAAGTCTAGGTCAAGTTCTAGCTGTCACTTATTATTTCTAAGACCTTTTAGCAAATTACTATTTTCTAAGAATTTATTTCCTGATTTCTACAACAATAACAACAGCAATTACAACAATGTCTATCTTACAAGCTTGTTTTGAGAATTAAATTTTTTAAATGTGAGCAAAGTGGTTAGCACAGTGCCTGGCACATAGCACACTAATCAATAAAGATTGACTTGCAGGGGATGGTGGCTCATGCCTTTAACCCCAGCACTTTGGGAGGCCGAGGTGGGAGGATTGCTTGAACCCAGGAGTTCGAGACAAGCCTGGGCATAGTGAGACCTCATCTCTACCAAAAATTTAAAAAATGAGCCAGGCACGGTGGCATGAGCCTATAGTTCCAGCTACTTGGGAGACTGAGGTGGGAGATCATCTGAGCCTGGGAAGTCAAGGCTACGGTGAGCCATGATTGTGCCATTGCACTCCAGCCTAGGTAGCAGAATAAGACCTTATCTCAAAAAAAAAAAAATCTTGAAAAGGAAAGGCCAAGTTTGGTGTATTGATCAATGTTTGATAAAATATGACCTTCCAGCTTGTTAACTGGGAGAATGCCATTTCATTTTTTTATATAGTTTCTGTTGTAATAGTCACTTTGTGTTCTGCTATTTCTTAAACATAACTTTTATGTATCCATTTTCCTTTCACTTGTAGACCTTAGAATATTATTTAACCTGATTTTATGGATTAAAGTACAGGTCCAAGAGCAGTTTATTACTCTGCCTATTATAAGCATAGGCAGATCTTGACTTGCACAAGTATTAGGTAGCAGAAACCCACATGAAGCTTAACAAAAATACAGAAAATCAAGAGAAAGCAGTATCACAAAGAGTAAGAGTATGAACAAACATATGCAAATAATCTACTTCCACATCCAGAAGAAAATTTCAGATAATTGCCATCATCTTGGGAATACAAGAAGACATGGCACTATAAGAAGTCCATAAGTTGTGGTAGAAACAGAAATTTAAACTCAAAGAAGAAAGCAGAAAACAAAATCAGAATAAAAAGCACACAGATTCTCATATACTGCTCAAACGAGGGTGAATGGTATAACCCCTTTGGAGAACAGTTTGGTAATTTTTCTTATAAAGTTAAATGTATATCTACATATGGTCCAGCAATTTCACTCTTACATATCTACCCTAGAGTAATAAACACATATATTTGCAAAAAGAGTTGTATCAGAATGTTTATGCCAACTTTATTTACAATAGCTCTAAACTGGAAACAATCCAAACATCTGTCAACAGAAAGATGGATAAGCACATTATGATGTATTCATATAATGAAATACTACTTAATGGTAAAAAACAAACACATCTCCAAAATCTACTGATGTATGCAAAACATGGATAAATCTTTAAAATAGTTTTCTAAGTAAAAAACACTACGCATAAAAGAGCATACACTATATGATTTGGTATGTATGAAACTCAGGGACAGAATGAATTGATGCTGACTCCTCAAAAAATGTAACTACTAATGACCCACTGCTGACCAGAAGCCTTACCAATAACATAAACAGCTGAGTAACATATTGTGTGTATTAAATTTATTATATACTGTATTCTTATAAGAAAGTAAACAAGAAGAAAAATGTATTAAGAAAATTAAATTTCTTAAGAAAATTATAAGGAAGAGAAAAAATATATTGCTTTTCATTAAGTGGAAGTTTATCCTCCTCATCTTCATGTTGAGTAGGCTGAGGAAGAAGAGGGAGGCTTGGTCTTACTGTCTCAGGTAGCAGAGGCAGAAGAAAATCTACATATAAATGAACCCAAGCAGTTCAAAGCCATATATAAGGGCCAACTGTATATACAGGGAGTGCCAAAAAACTGTACACACATTTTAAGGGCTATTATCTATGTATTACTTTTTGAAGTTGAATTAAATTACAGTAGTAATGTGTAGTATGATGTTCACTCAGCTGTGCTTCTGCCATTTTCTTGGTTGCATGGTGACACTAGCATTCATTTGATTAATGCCATCTTTTGAGTGAACGCCATACTTAAAATGTGTATACAGTTTTTTGGCACTCTCTGTAAAATTGTTCACATTCATTGAAATAAACAACTAAGTTCTGTACATTTTATAATATCTTTTTTTTTTTTTTTTGAGTTGGTGTCTCACTCTGTTGCCCAGACTGGAGTGCAGTGCACACTCACAGCCACCCCAGCCTTGACCTGCTGGGCTCAGGCAGTCCTTCTGCCTCAGTCTTTCCAATAGCTGGAACTACAGACGTCTGCCACCACACCTGGCTAATTTTTTGATTTATTGTAGAGATGTGGTCTCACCAAGGTGCCCAGACTGGGCTCAAATCCATGGGCTAAGGCAATCCTCTCACCTCTCAAAGTGCTGGGATTATAGGCATGAGCCACCATACCCGGCCTTATAATATCTTAAAAAACAAACAAACCAACCAACCATGTAGGAATCTATGAGAAGTAGAATTATCGTGGCAGAAATTAAATCAGTGATGTGGAGAACAAAGTCGACTAAAAATCTTAGAGGATGTTTGAGGATGGTCTTTGTGAAGGCCAGAAAGAACAGCACCAACACGAGTTCTTCCTGATGGAGAACCCAGAACAAAGGGAACATGCAGTAGTAAGAATTTTGAAGGGTAAATCTTTTCTGAGCTTAAGAACCGCCTTGACATTGCTTACTCTGTTCTATGCTAAATCATAGTTGAGCATGTTGTGGCAAAATATTTTAATTATAAGGAAAAATAAAAAAATTCTAAAATATTGATGCAGGGGAAAAAGTCAATTATCAACAAAACAATTAAAAACCAGTTTGCCTGACCTCCCATATGACCCCACAATCCCCCTACTGGGAATATACCCTGAAGAACTCAAATCATTCTATAAAAAAGATACCTGCACACGTGTGTTTATCACAGCATTGTTCACAATAGCAAGAACCTGGAAGCAACCATGCTGTCCATCAAAAGAGGACTGGATTAAAAAATGTGGTACATACACAATGGAATACTACGCAGTCATAAAAAAGAACAAAATCATGAATTTTGCAGCAACCTGGATGGAACTAGAGTCTATAATACTGAGTGACCTCTCACAGAAACAAAGATCTGAGTATCACATGTTCTCACTCATACAGTGGACCTTGAACATCCAATGTAATACTATAAGAAAATGACTGACAGTGGTGGGAAATTATGGGAGTGAGGGGAAGGGAGATGGGATTAATGGTAGTAAATATCTGTCTGGTGATGGAGAGACACCTCTTATCAACAAGCGTGCCTGAATGAAGCATATTTGTATACCTAACCCTTACCTGTACCCCACAATATCATAATGAAAAATATTGATTAAAATAAATAAATAAATAAGAATACTAAGCCCATACTGATATTATATA